GCTGTCCAGGGTAAGCAAGGGGTGTAGGAAATCTTACACCCCATTTCACGTGATGTGACATCACAATAATTTGGAAAACACTGATGCCGCAATGCGGAAAAGGCAATGTGATAAAACCTTTTACGGTATATCAACTGACACATTAGAAATATGAGATTATTTCGTTTTCGTTAGAACAGCTCAGGGGAAAAATTGGTATTTTCAAAATGGTAGCTAGTCCAAACGCATTTTCATGGTTTCTATAACCCTATTCTTGTAGTTGGAATGAGAAAAAAACCTCTTTCATGCCCAAGGGTGGAATTTCCCTATCCTACACCCCTGGACAAGAAAGAGTCTTATAATATTATTCTGGGTCATTTTCACAGTAGTGTTTTGTGTTTTATCCCCGAAAGATTCAATTGTAAATTCACAACAATACAGTAAAAAAATCCTGCTTCAAGTATGATCGTAAGATCTAATAGGAGACAAACAATACTGGTTTTAAATAGTGAAGCGTTGTTGCCTACAGTCAGTTACATATTGAAATTAAATGACAGGTATACATATACATTTATAAACTTGGTCCTCTGGTAAATAGATTTAGGTCACAACATATGTTTGCCACACTTTTTTTGGTAGCATGTATTGTTACTTGTCACACCTGATTGAAATTATTGTGAAACAGTCTATTCCTGACCAATCAGCTGATAGTGTAGTCATGTTGCGTGAAAATTACATAATAGCATAAGAAATGTAAAAATAACAGCCATGTTGATCCCCCTGGTTTCCACTCTTTCTACAATGCTGAAATATTGTTTTCCTGACAAAAGTAACACTGCTCCAATTCATAGCTGTAAATAGTACTAGAACCTTATATACATGAACATGTTTTTTGACTGATTGAAAAATTAAATTCTTAAAAATAAGGAGAGCTTATATTTTACTTCTGGTCTATGTTTGTAGTATAAATAATCGTTTGCTGTTGTGTCATTGCCAGGATGTGCCTGAGTTAGAAGATGTGGAGGTTGAGGAGCAGCTGGCCATGGTCCCCCAGGAGACCAAGGTAACCCCACAACTAGTACTAGTGGTGGCAAAATTACTTACAAGATTTAGAATAACTGTATAGGGGAAATTAAATGTCAATATTGTCTACTGTCTTCATACTTCTTTTTTATATTTCTTAAATATAAAAGAATTGTTTAAACTATGTGATTTGATAGAATATTGTGCATTTTTTTACTGTAATGCCGATGAAAATCTATTAAGATACATTCTTTCAATATCTTTCGGTCACTTGGTTTGAATTCTGTAAAAACATGTGAAAGATGTATTATTATTTGATATTTCAATAAACCATCTTTGTACAGAAAACATATAAACCAAAGATAGAAATGATGGACGATGAGGACGAAGACACGAAACAAGATGGAGGTTCTACAAGATTGTTGATAGAGGAAGTTACGACATCACAAACTCCACAAAGAGATATACAAACTGATCAAAAGTCGACACGCTTGTTAATTGAAGAAGTGGCCACCACAGATCAGACAAGCACTGGATCTAGTCAGATGTCATATGAAGCCACACAGAATGTACATTCAGAAGAACTTCTCGGCAACCTTGGAAAAATAGCTGCCACCAGTGGCAAACAGATGGGAACTCTTCAGTTCACAGAGGAGGAGAAAGCAATTATTGATAAAAAGACAAAGGAAGAGAAAATTAGTGACTTAGCAGCCAATGCTGGCTCTACTGACGGTAAGAAGGACGCCCTCAACAAACTTCTGTGGAACGATTCAGAACTAGATTGATGTTTTTGTGTATCATTGGATCACAGAATCGACAGTCCTTTAGACTCGGGACACACTGATAGCCACAAATTATGAGGATATTGTGTGGATTCATGTTACAACTGGAGCAAGCAAATTAATGATACAATTGCAAAGTGGATTTACACAATTCCTGTCAAAGATTCTGTAACATTTCATACTGACCAGAGTTATACAGTTATACCTACAGTTGGTGTCGGACCATACTGACCAGAGTTATACAGTCATACGTACAGTTGGTGTCGGACCATACTGATCAGAGTTATACAGTCATACATACAATTAGTGTCGGGACATACTGACCAGAGTTATACAGTCATAAATACAATTGGTGTCGGGACATACTGACCAGAGTTATACAGTCATACGTACAGTTGGTGACTGACCATACTGACCAGAGTTATACAGTCATACGTACAGTTGGTGTCGGACCATACTGACCAGAGTTATACAGTCATACGTACAGTTGGTGGCTGACCATACTGACCAGAGTTATACGGTCATACGTACAGTTGGTGTCGGACCATACTGATCAGAGTTATACAGTCATACATACAATTAGTGTCGGGACATACTGACCAGAGTTATACAGTCATAAATACAATTGGTGTCGGGACATACTGACCAGAGTTATACAGTCATACGTACAGTTGGTGGCTGACCATACTGACCAGAGTTATACGGTCATACGTACAGTTGGTGTCGGACCATACTGACCAGAGTTATACAGTCATACGGACAGTTGGTGTCGGACCATACTGACCAGAGTTATACAGTTATACCTACAGTTGGTGTCGGACCATACTGACCAGAGTTATACAGTGATACTTACAGTTGGTGTCGGACCATACTGACCAGAGTTATACAGTCATACCTACAGTTGGTGTCGGACCATACTGACCAGAGTTATAGAGTCATATGTACAGTTGGTGTCGGACCATACTGACCAGAGATATACAGTCATACGTACAGTTGGTGTCGGACCATACTGAGCAGAGTTATACAGTCATACGTACAGTTGGTGTCTGACCATACTGACCAGAGTTATACAGTCATACGTACAGTTGGTGTCAGACCATACTGACCAGAGTTATACAGTCATTCATACAGTTGGTGTCGGACCATACTTATACAGTCATACATACAGTTGGTGTCAGAACGAACTTTGAAAGTATTCCACTTAATATTTAATGAGAACTGTCAGGAAATACTGTATTGTAAGATTATTTGGTCATTCTTTATAAAGATACCATTTGTTAAGTTATAATTGTATCATTTCCAAACAGTTAACAATTAAAAACAACAGTTTTCATAGCTGATGTAAGGTGTAATGTTGCTCAGAAGAACATTTGAATGAGACACACTATCATTTTTTCTATATTTGTCCAAAATATAAAACTGCTTGGCACAAATTCCAACAAAAGGTCTGCCTGCTTATTAGTATATGGGGCTGCCTTTATGATTTGATTTAAACATTCCAAGAATTACGGTATAGTAAACCAGGTTTGTTTCAGTGAACTTGTTTGGTTTGAATAGTAATTATAATCTTTTACTTGAAACTTGTACCATATTGTTGATTTCTTCTTATTGAAGATTTTCAGAATCGCAAAAATGCCAAAGTTGCACGAAATATTGACATACTGTCCCTAACTGCTGATATTTACAAATTCCTAATATGGACGGTGTTATTAAGTCATAGTTGAGAACACCAGAGGAAGTTTGTACTAAATACTTGTTAACAGTAAATATTCAGATTGTGGCCCTGATTCTGCTAGTTTGCGCAAACCTTAGTCAGGACAGTTTTTATGAACATATTTAGTATGCTTATTTTATGAAGCTAAATTGTTTTCTCTTAAATCTTAAAAGAAAGAAAAGAATAAACAGGTAGAACCAATTTTGAGCAAACTTTTTCAAATCTATTCTTTTACATAAAAAGTTCCCAATGGATTTTAATAAAGTGATATTTTTGTTTGTTTGGTTTTTTAAATGCAATTGTACGAGGGGATTCTTATTCATGTTTGTGTAACTGCTGTCTGGAGTAACAATGTGATCCTAGTCAGAGTACTGGTCAGGACTGTCTGGAGTAACAACGTGATCCTAGTCAGAGTACTGGTCAGGACTGTCTGGAGTAACAATGTGATCCTAGTCAGAGTACTGGTCAGGACTGTCTGGAGTAACAATGTGATCCTAGTCAGAGTACTGGTCAGGACTGTCTGGAGTAACAATGTGATCCTAGTCAGAGTACTGGTCAGGACTGTCTGGAGTAACAATGTGATCCTAGTCAGAGTACTGGTCAGGACTGTCTGGAGTAACAATGTGATCCTAGTCAGAGTACTGGTCAGGACTGTCTGGAGTAACAATGTGATCCTAGTCAGAGTACTGGTCAGGACTGTCTGGAGTAACAATGTGATCCTAGTCAGAGTACTGGTCAGGACTGTCTGGAGTAACAATGTGATCCTAGTCAGAGTACTGGTCAGGACTGTCTGGAGTAACAATGTGATCCTAGTCAGAGTACTGGTCAGGACTGTCTGGAGTAACAATGTGATCCTAGTCAGAGTACTGGTCAGGACTGTCTGGAGTAACAATGTGATCCTAGTCAGAGTACTGGTCAGGACTGTCTGGAGTAACAATGTGATCCTAGTCAGAGTACTGGTCAGGACTGTCTGGAGTAACAATGTGATCCTAGTCAGAGTACTGGTCAGGACTGTCTGGAGTAACAATGTGATCCTAGTCAGAGTACTGGTCAGGACTGTCTGGAGTAACAATGTGATCCTAGTCAGAGTACTGGTCAGGACTGTCTGGAGTAACAATGTGATCCTAGTCAGAGTACTGGTCAGGACTGTCTGGAGTAACAATGTGATCCTAGTCAGAGTACTGGTCAGGACTGTCTGGAGTAACAATGTGATCCTAGTCAGAGTACTGGTCAGGACTGTCTGGAGTAACAATGTGATCCTAGTCAGAGTACTGGTCAGGACTGTCTGGAGTAACAATGTGATCCTAGTCAGAGTACTGGTCAGGACTGTCTGGAGTAACAATGTGATCCTAGTCAGAGTACTGGTCAGGACTGTCTGGAGTAACAATGTGATCCTAGTCAGAGTACTGGTCAGGACTGTCTGGAGTAACAATGTGATCCTAGTCAGAGTACTGGTCAGGACTGTCTGGAGTAACAATGTGATCCTAGTCAGAGTACTGGTCAGGACTGTCTGGAGTAACAATGTGATCCTAGTCAGAGTACTGGTCAGGACTGTCTGGAGTAACAATGTGATCCTAGTCAGAGTACTGGTCAGGACTGTCTGGAGTAACAATGTGATCCTAGTCAGAGTACTGGTCAGGACTGTCTGGAGTAACAATGTGATCCTAGTCAGAGTACTGGTCAGGACTGTCTGGAGTAACAATGTGATCCTAGTCAGAGTACTGGTCAGGACTGTCTGGAGTAACAATGTGATCCTAGTCAGAGTACTGGTCAGGACTGTCTGGAGTAACAATGTGATCCTAGTCAGAGTACTGGTCAGGACTGTCTGGAGTAACAATGTGATCCTAGTCAGAGTACTGGTCAGGACTGTCTGGAGTAACAATGTGATCCTAGTCAGAGTACTGGTCAGGACTGTCTGGAGTAACAATGTGATCCTAGTCAGAGTACTGGTCAGGACTGTCTGGAGTAACAATGTGATCCTAGTCAGAGTACTGGTCAGGACTGTCTGGAGTAACAATGTGATCCTAGTCAGAGTACTGGTCAGGACTGTCTGGAGTAACAATGTGATCCTAGTCAGAGTACTGGTCAGGACTGTCTGGAGTAACAATGTGATCCTAGTCAGAGTACTGGTCAGGACTGTCTGGAGTAACAATGTGATCCTAGTCAGAGTACTGGTCAGGACTGTCTGGAGTAACAATGTGATCCTAGTCAGAGTACTGGTCAGGACTGTCTGGAGTAACAATGTGATCCTAGTCAGAGTACTGGTCAGGACTGTCTGGAGTAACAATGTGATCCTAGTCAGAGTACTGGTCAGGACTGTCTGGAGTAACAATGTGATCCTAGTCAGAGTACTGGTCAGGACTGTCTGATGTACATTTGCGCCACCACATGTAGCTGTATCGTTAACGAACAACTGCTAATATGTGTGTGCCGTGTTTCTGTTATTAAAAGGGGCCGCGGTGGCTAAGTGGTTAAGGCAGTCACCAGGTACTGGCAGTAAGTCAGTGGTTTTTCTTCAGGAACTCTGGCTTTTCTCCACTACCAAAACCTGGCACGTCCTTAAATGACAATAGCTGTTAATAGGATGTAAAACGCAACCAAACCAAACTGTTATAGAATTCCTATACTGTACATACAGATATAGTTGGGAATTTTTATATTTTTGAAAAACATTACCATATTTGTTATACAAAACTGATCAGGAGTGTTCACCTTAGATAACCTGATCAGGAGTGTTCACCTTAGATAACGTTAACCTGATCAGGAGTTTTCACCTTAGGTAACCTGATCAGGAGTTTTCACCTTAGATAACCTGATCAGGAGTTTTCACCTTAGGTAACCTGATCAGGAGTTTTCACCTTAGATAACCTGATCAGGAATGTTCACCTTAGATAACCTGATCAGGAGTTTTCACCTTAGATAACCTGATCAGGAGTTTTCACCTGAGATAACCTGATCAGGAGTGCTCACCTTAGATAACATTAACCTGATCAGGAGTTTTCACCTTAGATAACCTGATCAGGAGTTTTCACCTTAGGTAACCTGATCAGGAGTTTTCACCTGAGGTAACCTGATCAGGAGTTTTCACCTTAGATAACCTGAACAGGAGTTTTCACCTTAGATAAATATAATCTGATCAGGAGTTAAACAACTACGAGAGTTCTGAGATTTTTGTTGTTTTGTGATTTCATTTTAGAAATCCTGTTTTGTGCATTATATTTCCTATTACATTTATAGATTTTAAATATTGTAGTTGTGATTGACAAAGAATAATGAGTTGGAGTGTATGAATCAAATGTTATATATGTACATTGTAATTAATCAATATAGAATATGCAGGTATTTTTTTTTTTACGTCATACAGAAATTTATCATTTTATACAATTGTTTGTCCAATTACTATTTTACCCAAGTATTACCACCACTTCACATTCCATACATCGATGAGTTCATTTATTTTTCATTTTGATAGTTTTTAAAGTCTGTGTTGATCATACTAACTATACAGTGTATGAGCATTCCGTCCATAACTTAGTGTACGTAAGTTAACAAAGTATGGAGATATTCCGTCCATACCTTAGTGTAGGTAAATTAAAAAAATATGGAGATATTCCGACCATACCTTAGTGTACGTAAGTTAACAAAGTATGGAGATATTCCGTACATACCTTAGTGTACGTAAGTTAACAAAGTATGAAAATATTCCGTCCATACCTTAGTGTACGTAAGTTAAAAAAGTATGGAGATATTCCGTCCATACCTTAGGGTACGTAAGTTAACAAAGTATGAAGATATTCCGTCCATACCTTAGTGTACGTAAGTTAAAAAAGTATGGGATATTCCGTCCATACCTTAGTGTACGTAAGTAAACAAAGTATGGGATATACCGTCCATACCTTAGTGTACGTAAGTTAAAAAAGTATGGAGATATTCCGTCCATACCTTAGTGTAGGTAAATTAAAAAAATATGGAGATATTCCGTCCATACCTTAGTGTAGGTAAATTAAAAAAATATGGAGATATTCCGTCCATACCTTAGTGTAGGTAAGTTAACAAAGTATGGAGATATACCGTCCATAACTTAGTGTACGTAAGTTAATAAAGTATGGGATATACTGTCCATAACTTAGTGTACCTAAGTTAACAAAGTATGGGATATACCGTCCATAACTTAGTGTACTTAAGTTAACAAAGTATGGAGATATTCCGTCCATAACTTAGTGTACGTAAGTTAACAAAGTATGGAGATATTCCGTCTATACCTTAGTGTACGTAAGTTAACAAAGTATGGGATATACCGTCCATAACTTAGTGTACGTAAGTTAATAAAGTATGGGATATACTGTCCATAACTTAGTGTACCTAAGTTAACAAAGTATGGGATATACCGTCCATAACTTAGTGTACTTAAGTTAACAAAGTATGGAGATATTCCGTCCATTCCTTAGTGTACGTAAGTTAACAAAGTATGGGATATACCGTCCATAACTTAGTGTACGTAAGTTAATAAAGTATGGGATATACTGTCCATAACTTAGTGTACGTAAGTTAACAAAGTATGGGATATACCGTCCATAACTTAGTGTACTTAAGTTAACAAAGTATGGAGATATTCCGTCCATACCTTAGTGGAGGTAAATTAAAAAAATATGGAGATATTCCGTCCATACCTTAGTGTACGTAAGTTAAAAAAGTATGGGATATTCCGTCCATACCTTAGTGTACGTAAGTAAACAAAGTATGGGATATACCGTCCATACCTTAGTGTACGTAAGTTAAAAAAGTATGGAGATATTCCGTCCATACCTTAGTGTACGTAAGTAAACAAAGTATCGAGATATTCCATCCATAACTTAGTATATGCCATATTTTTTATTGTCATAATTTCACTGCAGTTTATCATTTTCACCCTTCGAGTGTTACCAGTATAAATATGTGTTATGACCAAATACAATCTGTATGTGCTTTATAATGCATAAAGATTTTGGTGCAAATTGGGGTTATTTGTATTTTGTAGATATTTGACCAGTATTGTTAGGTAAAATTATACCCATGAAACAAATTTGGGTGTTGGGGTATAATGGAATCCGATTGGTTAAGACTAAGACTGAAAACATGTTGTATTTATTATATTTATATGAAATCCTCATGGAAAGTAATTCAATAAAGAATTTGGTTTTTAACTAAATCATTGTTTTGTTTTGATAAGAACATTCTGGGTGTAGCAAATGTACTGGATGTCAAGCTGTCAGTTTGAACATTTATATTTCTTATCAATATAAGAATGAAGGACTATACAGAAAAGGCATATGGGTTGTTCTTGAAAAGAGGAAGAGCAAGGTCAATAACTTGAAGTAAGATTTTGCTGAACAAAGACTTACCAAAGTTTAAACTCTGTGCGTAGGTTGCTGTAGATCTAGAGAACCCCATTTATTTTTGGACAGTTTGCCAAAGGTCACTGTTATTCAAAATAGAATTTCTATGTCTAGATCCTAACTTCAGAACAAATAATTGCTCAAAGCTCATAGTATATGGATTGCCCGAAGGAAGAGGAAGAACCCTATAGATTTTGGTATGGCTTAAGGTCATTGTTATTGAACTTGATTTGACTCAAAGTGTTCTTGTATAATAAACAGTGTAAGAGTACTTGAGTTCAAGGTGAAATAGCTGGACATTGAACTTGTGAATCTCATTTCATTCCAACACACCTGACCTCCACATCATGTCTGACACCAATGTACACATGGTGTAGCAGAACTGGACTGGATTGAGCTACCCGGTCACCGACAATCAACCTTATCGATTTTAGGCCTAGTTTCTCAGCGGTCAAAGTCGCAGTTACTGAGAGTGGAATTTTCCCTATAGCTCAATTGGTAGAGCTATGGACTAAGAGGCTGGAGGTTCTCTTTTCTGTTACAGGTTATCACAACATAAAACAGTTCCTATATATTACATGGTACTTTATTGTTAATTAACCGTTTACAAATACTGTACTGGACATACAACCATTACTATCTAAACCTACGACAATATAATTCTGTCAAGCTAGAAAGACTACTCTATCTGGCCAGCAGTTCCCATCAGTAGCCAACATCACCCATCAGCTTCCATGTCATGATTTAATGTATGATATCTTCTGTAAGTAGGAACAAAATTTGATTCCAACATCCTATTGCAATCAAAATTTTAATTAAAACCTTTCATAAATTTTATGATTTATGTACAATGGGATCTGCAGTGCATTTAACCCTTTTAATAATAAAGTACCCTGTGATTTGTACCTTTGATTTTTTTCCCTGACGGGCCCCTCATTCTATGATATCAGTTAACAGTTCCTTTGACAGGTGAAGTAATACAGTCAAACCTGTCCATGTGACCACCTCTATTATGAGACCACCTGCATAAAGAGACCACTTTTTGGACTTTCAGAGGGTGGTATCTTCAAACAGGTCTGTATGTACATGGGTTTGGCAAATACCTTCAATATCTGCACAAACTGTCAGTTACATAAAACATTTATTATCATCCGAACTGTATCTTCAAAGTACATTATTTAGTTGGTAAGTGTGTTTACAATTTGACTAGATTAATGCTGTATGCAGATACACAAAAGTGAAGAGCCTAGTTTTACTCATGATACCATAACCAAGTAGACTGTTGGCATGATTCTCAAGTGTAACTCTAACAGGACTTACAACACTAAATACTCTTTTACTCTTTCTATAATTTCGTGAAATATGGCAATTGTACATATTATTTAACTGAAAAAACATTGACAATGAAATTCACTAACTTCCATACAAAATACCAACAGACCATCTGTTATTTATAAGACATATAATAAAAACAAAAGAGGACAGAATTATATATAAAAATTATAAATCACTGTAGAATAGAAAATTGATGACATCGATGTGTAAAAGGATCTTGTTAATTCTCTTATAAGAAGACTCTTTCTTGTTGAATCTTGTTACACTCTTTGTTTCCTTGTGAGCTTGTAAAAGACTAATTTTTACTTCCTTCTTTAACCTACATTTGTTGTGTGTATGAGTCTGGATTTAGTGCTTAGACTACCCAGATTCTACAACAAGCTCTTGGTTACAAATTTAAGAAAAAAAACAAAATTTAGATTTTGTTTCAATTCCAGTATATATTATATAGACAGCAACTTACCATGGAATGCATAAATCACAGAATATGGTTATAATTAAATGATTAATATCATAATCTATTACAAGTCTTGTAGTGTAAATACATCATATATTTAATGACTAAAATCACATTTTGATCCATTTCACATTTATGTCTCGTTACGTAGCCTCTCTATATATTTCTGTTATGATATAGCTATTCAGTTACTACAACATTTCCCTTAAACCTTTGATATTGCATACAGTTTGTTTAATGTAACTTCACACGAAATCCTCTTGCTATCATATTGTAATACTGGTTACCATATACACATCACATCATCAACCCAAAATCTGTCTGTAAGACCAGGGTTTCCCTAATCCCACACATAATAACTAAGGCAAGGTCATAGAGGCCAAGTTCAAAGGCCAAGGTCAAAGAGGCCAAGTTCAAAAGCCAAGGTAACACATTTTCACTTTCTCCAAAAAAGTTAACAGTTGTCTTTCAAGGAATTTCATGTCGTTGTCAAAAAAATATATAAATGAACATGAAGATATAGAGAGAGACTACATACACAAAACAATCCACTTTATGTACATCGTAACTGATGACTAATAAGTGTAGTGTACACTGTTATCACATACTGATACAGATTACACCTTCCACATTCAACATAATGGGCATGGCAAAAATCTGAAATGCATAACTTTCTAACCAGAGGAAAAACACACAGGTGTAGTTCTATCTACCCTTAAAACGTTCAACAACTGACTTATTTTTCTTCTCTCTAACCTAACAGATATGAACCGTTGTTATAAAATGTTTCTCATTCCATTTTTCATAAGTACTTTCTTACTCCTTTATTAATTAAAAAAATCAATCTGTTTTAGGTATTCTGATATTAAGAATTTAAAAAAACTATTTGGAAGATATATAATTCCACAGCATTATTGAGACAACAGTTACCCCTCTGGCATGGTGTTTACATGTGATTATTGCTTAATCAGCATGGAATTCATCAGCATTATAAAATGAGACACAACTTAAAAATAGGCTCATCCTTTGGTCATCCAAACACAAGTGCCTAACTTACCCCAGATTTCTCAAAAAAAGGCAAAACTTCTCAAAATTGATTTTTGAAATTTATCCATGTATCATGTCTAAATATTTTGTATGAACTTTAAACTGTATACTGTACACAAAATCATAGCAATTTCTCACTAAACAGAATTGTAGTACATGCACTGAGAAACCATCTTCGTTTTTAGAAATCTGAGTACCTACAGTTATGATGATTATGATGAACGAGGGTTATAATTTTCTATCATAAAAATATAACATTACTCAATTCATTCTAAACAGTTTGCTAAAATGTACTTGAATAAATATTTTGGGAGATATTTAGAACAGATAAATGAACTATAAGACAAAGATAACCCCTCACAGGAAATGGTCGACCCAGGCTGGGACAACAGGTCTATACATATACAGTTCCTTATAACGACGTGATATCACTATAGACTGACGTAACTTTGTTCTGGTAATATTCAAACATCTGTGAGATCTAGGTTGATCTTATAATACACATAGGGATAGTACTCCTGGTTCCCCATCCCCAGGCCCGGGATGTCCATGTAGCCGGCCTGTAAACACAAAGTATCGACATCAGTATTAACAAAGTACTAATAGGCAAAGTTTAAAAGGGCTATTCAAGAATTATTTATGAAGGAGGGGCGGTATGGCCTTAACCCTTTCACCCCTATGTAACTTTAATAACCTCTACCATAAAAGGATCTGGATGATCCATTATGGTCTACAGTGTTGAAAGGGTTAAACATAGTTTTAAGGTTAATTACATGATGTGAACAGTTAAAATGCATTTATCTGTGTTGTGGGATAAACCAGATTATGAGTGATGACAGATAAACCAGATTATGAGTGATGACAGATAAACCAGATTATGAGTGATGACAGGCTTATATCAGGTAACAGGTGGAGTTGATCATTATATTCTACAGGTGTAGGGAGATATATGTATACCCTTGTATTTTGAAAAAAGAGTCTGGAAACAAGTTAACAGATCTATCTAAATTTGGAAACGATAGATGTACAGACCTACACAACAAGTGTTTTATATAAACATGCCTGTCATGGTTGATTGAACATCATTATGCCCACACATTTGTAGTGGTAAAGTGTGAAAATGAGTTGCAGGGAAATAAATTAACTTACTTCACCAGAAGCGGCCAGTGCTGTGTTGTCAAGGTGGCTGTACAACTGACCAAGGACTGAACGCAGGTTCCTCATACTCTTCCTATGGGGCTGTATAAGCATGGCCTGGAAGTTCACTGGCAGGCCGTACCTGTACAAAGGTCACATGGAACCAATTTCATGGATACTAAAACAAGGCAAAGTATTGCAAGACAATCCATAGTCCCCACTGGTAATGATTTCTACAAACAGTACACTTATGTCAGGAAGCATAGGTCATAATGAGGTCATAGTGACCTATTTCTTGCACTATGCCATCCCAATTAGATGTCCTTGTACAACAAATCTGGATACTCCAGGTGAAATAGTATATGCCCCGGACAAACATATTCAAAATAAAGGTCAAAGGTCAAGTCACAGGTCAAAGTGACCTTCTTCTTGCACTCTGCACTTAGCCAAGATATCCTTCTGGTTACTCAAGGTGAAATAGTATAGAAGATTTGACGGAAAGACAAACGGACGGATAGCAAACCTATAGTCCCCCCCTGGTTGGGGACTTATCATGGATGGTTTCTGTTGACTTTCAGCAATATTTCACCATTTCATAGCAGATATAATGTTTTAGGGTAGATTTCCATTATTAATTAAGTTCTGAGCCTGCATTCATGAAACCATTTTCAGGCTTAAACTCAAGATTCTGTGCTGGAGCTCAATTTCTTTGATATTAATAAAATTTCACATTTCGTCAGTGATTTGAAACAATTTTAGAAAGCTTTAGATCTGAATACTGTTTTCATTGTTTAATCTTTATTTTTTGACCAAGTCACAAACCTTGCAAGTTTCAAAACAATTGGTTTCAGCTCAGAGCCCATGCATGATGCTCAGCTTGAGCATGAAAACAATTTCATGAATACAGACCCTAAACGTTACATCATATCCATATGCCATGGATGAAAACAAAGCAAAATTCCAAAATGGTTTTAAAACTAATTTTTATGAACTTTTGGTGGTTTACAGAAGCTGACATAAAGCTAACACTCTGATACATCTGAATAACTAAATGGTAACTTATAGCTGTGTATATATTTACTATTAATGCTCAGGTAACTTATAGCTGTGTACACTCTAGTCGCCAATGGCGAGTGGGCGACCGTCCATTTCAGTCACTGGCTGCTAAGGTAAACCTGGGACCTTTTTTTTTTTAAAACAGATTCACTCTGCATCTACACAAAGGAACTGTATGGCCTCACAACTCACCGGAATGGATTTGCAATCATACAAAAACAGCAAGGAGATTACTTCATATAATGTTCTCTGTGTGTTTTTAAATCCATTTTAGTTCAAAACCAGAAGAGCATGATAAAGAATAATACTGAAGATCAGCAGTAATCCAACTTTACTTAAACAGGATCAAGAAACAGTGTATTCTTTTAATACCTTAATAATTAAAATGGTTAATGTTAACAGCTTTAACGCCACTGCTCTTTCCTTGTCACTGAATTGCTCACCTTAGTACAGATTTGACACTCCTTACCATTATAAATCACTCATGTTTACAGTAAATACCATTTTACCAGTGAAATGAAAACTTCATTTACTTTACAACATGGAGCAAGTTTTATCCCTTTGTATTATCAATCAAGTCTTTTTGTCCCACATGTGCAAATGGGGTGTAAGTGTGGGAGGAAAACAGAGCATCTGTAGAAAGCCATGTGTTTTGTCAGGTGACCCAATACATTGTCACCTCCGATGGTGGTCAGGTGACCCAATACATTGTCACCTCCGATGGTGGTCAGGTGACCCAATACATTGTCACCTCCGATGGTGGTCAGGTGACCCAATACATTGTCACCTCCGATGGTGGTCAGGTGACCCAATACATTGTCACCTCCGATGGTGGTCAGGTGACCCAATACATTGTCACCTCCGATGGTGGTATCAAACCTGTTTTGATGAAAAGTGAGTGTCACTGTGCCACCCGATCACACGACATTACACACTTCTTATATATATAATTATAATGTAAGGACTCACCTTAACACAGATTCAACAAACACTCGCAGAGCCTTTACATGTATCCACGCCGAGAAACATTCTCCAAAGTTTACTTTTAACCATTTGACAAGCGGCCCCTGAAAAAAAGGCAGCACTGAATCACTAGAGAAATTCTTACTTAAGGAATGGATTTGTATCAGAAATTATGGTCCAAGTTTTTTCCCTAGTATTATTTGGTAAAAAAACCATTATTGGTAAATTAAAGAGACAAAGAATGCCACATGGAATAATATAGTGACAATCAAACCAGATATTGTCAAGCTGAAATCTTTATATATCATCACAAACAAAATGCTGCAAACACCTACAAATTGCTTTTTCTTGTCTGCCTCCAGTTTTGTGATTTCAGTTTTGCCAGCTGCTAACTCCTCTTCATTGTATGTGAAGTCTCGGACCATGAATCTACAATGGAGAAAATTGGTAAGTTTCAGGTGAAGAGTTATAATCACAAAGAATATTTGCACTTAAGAGAGGCTTTTTCTTCTTCGACCTGCAGTAATCTTCTCTTTTTGTAGAACACTAGAACTGTAAGCTAAAGGTTTACTAAAGCAAAGCATTGTAGAACAATCCATAGTCTCCCACCAGTAATGATTTCTTTATTGACTGAGCTGTACACTTACTTAAGTATACAATTCACTGACATACTTTCTGTACTCCCTCCCCATGCCAAAACATACTTACATACCGAATCTTGTTAGCCCAGATGAACCAGCTTTGTTAAAATTGTCCTAGTAGTTAAGGAAAAGATGTCAGGACAAAGATTTTTAAGAAAGGGCCATAACTCCTTTTAAAAGGGTTGGAATGAAAAAGTACCACTTTGATGCACAATGTCAGGGGGCAGTTATCATATCTGTAAAAAATTGTTGAAATTAGATAAGGAAAAGTTGTCAGGATAAGAATTTTTCAACAAAGGGCCATAACTCCAAACAATTCAAGAGGTCCATGGGCCTTAAAAGGTCACCTGAGTCCTACAGTGTTTATTTTTGTTGTTGAAATATGTACCAATTTGAGTACAAAATAGTTAAGTATAATGTTAACTTAAGTTTGTCAGGACCATGAGCATATCATTCCTACAAAGTTAATTTCAGTTCAATCGGCCCAGTAGAACTTAACTTTAAGTTTTTCAAAATGGCGGCCGTGGCGGCCATATTGGATTTCTGATCAACCCGAAAAATAACAACACTTTGTCAGGACCATGAGTCGATCATTCATACAAAGTTTCAGTTCAATAGGCCCAATAGAACTTGACTATAAGTTTGAAATAGTTTTTCAAAATAGGGCCATAACTTCGTAAAAAAAGGTCAGAATGAAAAAATAAAAACTGGATGCACAACTTCAGGTGGTAGTTATCATATCTAACTTTGTTGCGGGGGGTATAATAAAGCAACAAAAAGACAGATTTTCTGGTTTGGAGCTACTTCCCTTGTCAAGGATTCATCTCTCATTTTATGATATGCATTAATAATCCCTTGGTTGCAATATAATTCTGTAAAATTATGGGATTTATATTGATTTTTTCTGAAGAAAATAACTTGATATTCTGTTTCATATGTAGTGATAATGTCATCAAGATACTGTCAAACTTGAATAAAGAGACCATTCTCAGGAAAACTAAACAGTGGTCTCTTAATACAGGTAGTCTCTTAATACTGATAGTCTCTTATACAAGTTCAGTGCTAAATGAAATGTCTAGAATTGGGAAAATTTTAAATAATTTTTAACACAGGAGGTGTCTCAATAGAGGTGGTCACCTAAGCCGGTTTGACTGTACTTTCAGTTAAGGGTACTATTTATCTTAACATAGCAGCTGTACTTGGACTGTAGTACTAACTACAATAACTTGACTGCCAGTTGTTAACACGGAGTGGATTAGGGAGGTTTAACATGGCAGCTGTACTTGGACTGTAGTACTTACTACAATAACTTGACTGCCAGTTGTTAACACGGAGTGGATTAGGGAGGTTCAGGAGCTGATTTTATTTAGTGTACAATGTTTTACCAGTTCTCTCGACATTTGTGTTTGAATTCATCCACTACTCGTTTGAACAGAGTTACACTACACAGGCAGTTTTCATCATCTTCAAACAACACCCTGTCAACAGAGAAACATTTAAAGAATTGCAGACTTGGTGGTTAAGTTGTCCATGTATGTGCAGAGAGATGAACAAAAAAGTCTTAATTCAAAGCTTAGCACACTTTGGAACAAAATTTTGAGTTCATATATGTCTATATAAGTCTATTATGAGAGGGAAAATTTTAAATAATTTTTAACACAGGAGGTGTCTCAATAGAGGTGGTCACCTAAGCCTGTTTGACTGTACTTTCAGTTAAGGGTACTATATATCTTAACATAGCAGCTGTACTTGGACTGTAGTCCTAACTACAATAACTTGACTGCCAGTGGTTAACACAGAGTGGATTAGGGAGGGTTAACATAGCAGATGTACTTGGACTGTAGTACTAACTATAATAACTTGACTGCCAGTTGTTAACACAGAGGGGATTAGGGAGGTTTAACATAGCAGCTGTACTTGGACTGGAGTACTAACTACAATAACTTGACTGCCAGTGGTTAACACAGAGTGGATTAGGGAGGGTTAACATAGCAGCTGTACTTGGACTGTAGTCCTAACTACAATAACTTGACTGCCAGTTGTTAACACAGAGTGGATTAGGAAGGTTTAACATAGCAGCTGTACTTGGATTGTAGTACTAACTACAATAACTTGACTGCCAGTTGTTAACACAGAGTTGATTAGGGAGGTTTAACATAGCAGCTGTGCTTGGACTGTAGTACTAACTACAATAACTTGACTGCCAGTGGTTAACACAGAGTGGATTAGGGAGGTTTAACATAGCAGCTGGACTTGGACTGTAGTACTAACTACAAGAACTTGACTGCCAGTTGTTAACACGGAGTGGATTAGGGAGGTTCAGGACCTGATTTTATTTAGTGTACAATGTTTTACCTGTTCTCTCGACATTTGTGTTTGAATTCATCCACTACTCGTTTGAACAGAGTTACACTACACAGGCAGTTTTCATCATCTTCAAACAACACCCTGTCAACAGAGAAACATTTAAAGAATTGCAGACTTGGTGGTTAAGTTGTCCATGTATGTGCAGAGAGATGAACAAAAATGTCTTAATTCAAAGCTTAGCACACTTTGTAACAAAATTTTGAGTTCATATATGTCTATATAAGTCTATTATGAGATATTTTTGAATTATTGGATTTTGACCAAATTAATTTTATATTGGTTCTTCCAATTTCTTGTCATCATTTTTGAAAATATGTACAATTACTCTAAATGACTAAAAGAGGGTTTGTTTTATAAACACTTTAAAATAAAGGTATCCTCTGATAAGAAAAGTGACGATCATTTTCAAGACAAAGAAGAATTGAAAAGGACGAAGGAAACCGACAATCAATGCCAGAGGATGACCTGAACATTACTGTACGGATTCCATAATCAATATGACCTGAACATTACTGTACGGATTCCATAATCAATAGCCTCTCAGAAAAGCTTCTTTAAATTAGATCCAACACAATGACTCATATTTACAATTGGCATAATCATCGTGCTGTATTAACAGGGGGTTTAGATATACAATGTACATGGAATTTGTTTAGGCTCACAGTATACATAACAACGCTATATCATAGTGAGTTGTTTTATACAGGTGTGACATGTTATCAATATCCTAGTGTGAGTTGTTTTATACTGGTGTGACATGTTATCAATATCCTAGTGTGAGTTGTTTTATACAGGTGTGACATGTTATCAATATCCTAGTGTAAGTTGTTTTATACTGGTGTGACATGTTATCAATATCCTAGTGTGAGTTGTTTTATACAGGTGTGACATGCTATCAATATCCTAGTGTGAGTTGTTTTATACTGGTGTGACATGCTATCAATATCCTAGTGTAAGTTGTTTTATACAGGTGTGACATGCTATCAATATCCTAGTGTAAGTTGTTTTATACAGGTGTGACATGCTATCAATATCCTAGTGTAAGTTGTTTTATACAGGTGTGACATGCTATCAATATCCTAGTGTAAGTTGTTTTATACAGGTGTGACATGCTATCAATATCCTAGTGTAAGTTGTTTTATACAGGTGTGACATGCTATCAATATCCTAGTGTAAGTTGTTTTATACAGGTGTGACATGCTATCAATATCCTAGTGTAAGTTGTTTTATACAGGTGTGACATGCTATCAATATCCTAGTGTAAGTTGTTTTATACAGGTGTGACATGCTATCAATATCCTAGTGTAAGTTGTTTTATACAGGTGTGACATGCTATCAATATCCTAGTGTAAGTTGTTTTATACAGGTGTGACATGCTATCAATATCCTAGTGTAAGTTGTTTTATACAGGTGTGACATGCTATCAATATCCTAGTGTAAGTTGTTTTATACAGGTGTGACATGCTATCAATATCCTAGTGTAAGTTGTTTTATACAGGTGTGACATGCTATCAATATCCTAGTGTAAGTTGTTTTATACAGGTGTGACATGCTATCAATATCCTAGTGTAAGTTGTTTTATACAGGTGTGACATGCTATCAATATCCTAGTGTAAGTTGTTTTATACAGGTGTAGAATGAAGTGGCCGATTTTGATGACTTACTTTGTTGACCTTGGCACAATCATGTCCGTCAGAGTCTCATACTTCAGGTGCCAGTCATGTTGGTTAGCTCTGGAACCAAAATATCGACTGTATTATAGGAGGGATTGACATCCTTATAACATACTGGATACAAGTCCACAATAAATACAGTCATTTAGTTGTGAGTACATTGTAATAAACGCCATAATGAATTCTCCGTAATACTGAGGCCATATATAGATTTATCTAGATACCTGATAAATAATAATAATAATAATTTGAGGTTCTTATATACCGCTTTATCACAACCTAGTTCGTAGGTCGTCAAAGCGGTTCACTAATTTATTATCCTTTGCAACCAGCAAATATTTTTCTCAACTCCCTGGGGAGTATACAGCCGGTGCTGCCATTTTGGCGCTCACAGCTAGCATTAAACAATTCGAATTCTAGCACTGCCCAACCACATACTCATTTACAGCTGAGTAGACTGGAACAAGCGGAGTAAAGTATCTTGCTCAAAGATACAACACAGTGCTGTGCAAAGACTCGAACCTGCAACCCTTCGGTCACGAGCCCGGCGTCCTACCACTAGACTACCATGCCTCCTGTATAAACAGACATCTGGACATCATGCCCTGTTTTGGGTAAGCATATAGACTATCTACATAGGTAATGCACCAGTACTTATTACAGCACATATTAGTCCTACGTATATACATCCCTTTACCATGAGAGTATAAAAGACTGAGGCCAGTTTCTTTAGGAAATAAATAACCTGGCATTTTATTACAATAAATTTAGTTGAAATCCCATATTGATCTTTGACTTCAAAAATAATCTTTACTGTAAACATTATTTAAGTGATCTTGCGCCAGTGAACCAAATAAAGAAAAATATCTTTCTAATGTATATATACTATCATGTCAAATACAAACTAATATAACAGTTTATATGCAACAGAGATCAATGTCTGTAGGATCTTACTTGGGAACCACCACCAGCAGTGTTTGAAGATAATCAGAATTTAAAATAAAGTCCTCCTTCTTCACCAGATCACCAATATTTCTTGTTAGTAAGTTCCCACTGCGAAAAAAAAATATACCAATAAAATTTCATATAATATTATATATATAAGATATATCTTAGCTTTTCAGTTTATTGTTTGAAACATATTGTACCCTTTTCAATTATAAACATAACTAAAATTTTGTGCATGGTCAGTGACTCATTATCAAATCAAAAGCATCAAATTTTCTAATTTGCTGTAAATTGCTTTGGTTTTGTAGAAATGTGAAACAACACTTCTTTAAACTTATTTGTTACCAAATTTCCTTTTTACATCCACATTTACCCAATATTTACATGACATCTATATAAGGTATCCTCCAATTTCTTGTAAGATGGGATAACCATATTGTTTTACGTTGAGGTGGTTACTGTTTTATTGAGTGTGTAACAATATTGTTTCTGTCGAGGGGCTACCCTATTTTTGTTTCCATTGTGAGGGATATGCTATTGTTTTAATTGAGGGTGTAACAATATTGTTTCTGTCGAGGGGCTTCCCTATTTTTGTTTCCATTGTGAGGGCTACACTATTGTTTTAATTGAGGGTGTAACAATATTGTATCTGTCGAGGGGCTACCATATTTTTGTTTCCATTGTGGGGGCTACACTATTGTTTTATTGAGGGTGTAACAATTTTGTTTCTGTCGAGGGGCTACCCTTTTTTTGTTTCCATTGTGAGGGCTACACTATTGTTTTATTGAGGGGGTAATAATATTGTTTCTGTCGAGGGGCTACCCTATTTTTGTTTCCATTGTGATGGCTACACTATTGTTTTAATTGAGGGTGTAACAATATTGTTTCTGTCGAGGGGCTTCCCTATTTTTGTTTCCATTGTGAGGGCTACACTATTGTTTTAATTGAGGGTGTAACAATATTCTTTCTGTCGAGGGGCTACAATATTTTTGTTTCCATTGTGAGGGCTACACTATTGTTTTAATTGAGGGTGTAACAATATTGTTTCTGTCGAGGGGCTACCATTTTTTTGTTTCCATTGGGAGGGCTACACTATTGTTTTTATTGAGGGTGTAACAATATTGGTTCTGTCGAGGGGCTACCATTTTTTTGTTTCCATTGGGAGGGCTACACTATTGTTTTTATTGAGGGTGTAACAATATTGGTTCTGTCGAGGGGCTACCATTTTTTTGTTTCCATTGTGAGGGCTACACTATTGTTTTATTGAGGGTGTAACAATTTTGTTTCTGTCGAGGGGCTACCCTTTTTTTGTTTCCATTGTGAGGGCTACACTATTGTTTTAATTGAGGGTGTAACAATATTGTATCTGTCGAGGGGCTACCATATTTTTGTTTCCATTGTGGGGGCTACACTATTGTTTTATTGAGGGTGTAACAATTTTGTTTCTGTCGAGGGGCTACCCTTTTTTTGTTTCCATTGTGAGGGCTACACTATTGTTTTTATTGAGGGTGTTACCAGGGATCAATCTAGGTTTTAGGGAAAAACACCCTTTTTTCAGATTTGAAGGAAATAATATTTTTGATATTAGCGTCATGAAGGTAAAAGAAAAATGTTTTGTCTGCCATACATGTGTGCAGTATATTTCAATTTATAAACAATTTCAAGCTTAAAATTGTAGAATTTTTGTTTAAATTTTGTGAAGAAAATGTATATATGCAGTATTATGCATTTTAACTGTTAAACTTTAAAGAAAACATATATAGGGGAAATAAAGAAAACTTACATAGGGTAAATATTTTGAAGAAAACACCCATTTTCTTGTTGAAATAGGGAAATTTTGAAGCACATAGGGGGGAATTTCAAAGAACAGGAATTTTCTTCTGTAGGGGAAACTACCCATAAACGGTAGTAAATCAAGTCTAGATTGATCCCTGTGTTACAATACTGTTTCCTAGAAAAGGGTTACCATACTGTTTTATCTGGTAGAATTAAACACCAAAGTATTTGTTCTGTAGATAAGTACCAAGGTATATGTGATAGGAATATCGACTAAACAATCCTGTATAGTAGATACATAGATGTATGTACTCATTATCTCAAGTCTACAGTAAAACTTACGTGGCCTTCCTCTCCAGATTCTGGAGACTGCCTTTGAGGTTGTTGTATGCGCTAGCTTTTGACTTTAGATCACCCTCAATTTGAGACACTTGCTGAAATTAATAATTCAGTCTTTTATTATAAGTGTAACAACAAGATTTATTATATATTTCTGATTTCTTCACTAATAATTATAAGATTTTAAAATACAAAAAGTTGAACTGTAATGATCCAGGTTTTTTTAAAAGAGAAAGGATTGGACACAATAACAAGAGGCCCAGAGGGCCTGCATCACTCACCTGGATAATAAAGTAACCATGGGAAATTATTCTTATTATAAAAAATCCCTCCAATGGTACTGAAAAAAGATTTTAAAGATTCAAGCCTCAACTTCCCCTTTTTGGCCCCGTAACTCTGCATCCAGAAGGGCCACACCCTCGGTTTATACAAAATTAAGTCCCCTTTGCCCAAGGATGCTCCAGGCCAAATTTGGATAAAATCTCTCCAATGGTACAGAAGAAGGATTTTGAAGACTTGGACCTAAAATTCCCCCTTTGGGCCCCGTAACTCTGCACCCGGAGGGGCCACACTATCCATTTAAACAAACTCTTTTCCCCTTTGCCCAAGGATCTCTAGGGTAAGAGAAGGATTTAAAAAAGTTTTTCCTCTATTTTCCTTATTGGGCTCCTCTGCCCCAAGGGGGCCGGCCACACCCATCGTTTACACAAAAATTGAGTGCCCTTGACCCAAGGATGCTCCAGACTAAATTAGGATAAAATCCCTTTATCCTTACAGTAGATGAAGGATTTTAAAGGTTTTACCTCTTTTTCCCCCTATTGGGCCCTGCTCCTCTGCCCCAAGGGGGCCATACCCACCGTTTATACAAAATTGAAAGCCCTTGGCCTTAGGATGCTCCAGGCCAAATTTAGTCAAATCTACTGGGCCATTCAGGACTAGTAGCATTTTAAAGGAAAAGTAAACGGACGGACGACGGACGCTGGGTATGGCATAAGCTCACCTGGTCCGCACCATGGTTCTTCGGACCAGGTGAGCTAACAATTTAATTCCTTTTTTTTCTAATGAAGTATAACAATACACTTCAAAATATAATACTGAAATTATTAAATGTATCGTTTCAAAACTATTATGTCTTGTTATGAAACAGATTACGATCAAACTACTGCGGTGGAACCAGTTATATATAAAAAAAATGTAAATTTTATTCCGACTGCAATACATTGCTCCAGGTTCAGTGTGTGTCGATTGCCACATCCTGGAAGATGTCAAACATGTCACTAATGAATGGGACTCACATCTGTGAAGGGTGGGAAAATATATCTCCCATCTGATACATGAAGAGAAATAATAGTACCTTGCTGACAATCTGTGCAATGTTCCTAAGGGACTGTTTGATGGGATACTTGGCTAAATCCCACTGGAATCGTGTCATGTACGTCACCAAATCCACTGCAGACAAATATATCAACATTCACTGTAGACAAATATCTAGGGTATAATAGGACAATATATCAACATTCACTGTAGACAAATATCTAGGGAATAATAGGGCAATATATCAACATTCACTGTAGACAAATATCTAGGGTATATTAGGACAATATATCAACATTCACTGTTGACAAATATCTAGGGTATAATAGGGCAATATATCAACACTCACTGTAGACAAATATCTAGGGTATAATAGGGCAATATATTAACATTCACTGTAGACAAATATCTAGGGTATAATAGGACAATCTATCAACATTCACTGTAGACAAATATCTAGGGTTTAATAGGACAATATATCAACATTCACTGTAGACAAATATCTAGTGTATAATAGGACAATATATCAACATTCACTGTTGACAAATATCTAGGGTATAATAGGGCAATATATCACCATTCACTGTAGACAAATATCTAGGGTATAATATGGCAATATATCAACATTCACTGTAGACAAATATCTAGTGTATAATAGGACAATATATCAACATTCACTGTTGACAAATATCTGGGGTATAATAGGGCAATATATCAACATTCACTGGAGACAAATATCTAGGGTATAATAGGGCAATATATCACCATTCACTGTAGACAAATATCTAGGGTATAATATGGCAATATATCAACATTCACTGTAGACAAATATCTAGTGTATAATAGGACAATATATCAACATTCACTGTAGACAAATATCTAGTGTATAATAGGACAATATATCAACATTCACTGTTGACAAATGTCTGGGGTATAATAGGGCAATATATCAACATTCACTGGAGACAAATATCTAGGGTATAATAGGGCAATATATCACCATTCACTGTAGACAAATATCTAGGGTATAATAGGGCAAGATATCAACATTCACTGTAGACAAATATCTAGGGTATATTAGGGCAATATATCAACATTCACTGTAGACAAATATCTAGGGTTTAATAGGACAATATATCAACATTCACTGTAGACAAATATCTAGGGGATAATAGGACAATATATCAACATTCACTGTTGACAAATATCTAGGGTATAATAGGGCAATATATCAACATTCCCTGTAGACAAATATCTAGGGTATAATAGGACAATATATCAACATTCACTGTTGACAAATATCTAGGGTATAATAGGGCAATATATCAACATTCCCTGTAGACAAATATCTAGGGTATAATAGGACAATATATCAACATTCACTGTTGACAAATATCTGGGGTATAATAGGGCAATATATCAACATTCACTGTAGACAAATATCTAGGGTATAATAGGACAATATATCAACATTCACTGTAGACAAATATCTAGGGTATAATAGGACAATATATCAACATTCACTGTAGACAAATATCTAGGGTATAATAGGACAATATATCAACATTCACTGTAGACAAATATCTAGGGTATAATAGGACAATATATCAACATTCACTGTAGACAAATATCTAGGGTATAATAGGACAATATATCAACATTTGTAGATTTTAAATAAATCAATTTGCTTCCATATCCTTAAATAATTAAGAGAAATTTCATTACCATTAGTGTTTCTCTCATAAAATTTCAAATAAATCATGGATATCATATTTTTATCCACTTGAAAACCAAAAGCTGAAGCAAGGGACTTTAGTTTACTATGAAAATGCATTGTATTGGTCTAAAATTTTGGATAGAGGTATGAAATACAGGTATTAATTGCAGGTGCATATGTGTATATATATATATATATATAAGAACTTGACCATTTCCAATTAATTTTGTAAAAAGCACCACAAACAATACTTACCTCCATTGGCTAACAGATTTTCCTGTATTGTATGTGAACTTACCTCCATTGGCTAACAGATTTTCCTGTATTGTATGTGAACTTACCTCCATTGGCTAACAGATTTTCCTATATTGTATGTGAACTTACCTCCATTGGCTAACAGATTTTCCTGTATTGTATGTGAACTTACCTCCATTGGCTAACAGATTTTCCTATATTGTATGTGAACTTACCTCCATTGGCTAACAGATTTTCCTGTAACTTGTGGTTGTCCTCCAGTACCTCTCCCATATAATGGGAAATCTTCCTTGTCACACTGGGAAATATAACCATATTAAATGTTTATTCATAACTGTTTGAATTTTGTATTGTGTTGTAAATTGTTATACATTTATATATAAAAAGAGGTAGTTTACCTTTAATTCTAAGTCACAAACAACTAAATTATTTTAGACTTTTTAAACATGGCAAAATATATGTTGACCAATAAATAAATGTGCAAATCTGTCTTAACTGATATTAGTTCTCATATTAATTAATGAAATCATTAGGGTTGAATTTGCTACAATCTTAAAGAATGATTTTTTTTAAAGGATTTACCACTATTTCCCCTCTTGGGCCCCATCTCTTTGACCCGTAAGGGACCAAACCATCTGTTTATACAAAATAAAGTCCCTTTCCCCCCCAAGGATGCTCCAGACCAAATTAAGTTAAAATCCTTCTATTTATGCAGATGGAGATCGAAATCTTTGAACATTCATCACTATTTTCCCATTTAGGGCACGTGCTTCTGTCCATCTATTTATACAAAATTGAGTTTTCTTTGCCCAAGACACAATTTGGTAAGTCAAAATACCTCCATTTCTAAATCAAAGAAGAAGAAACAAGGCAAGTGAGAACATCATAAAATAGATTCAATCATAACAGGCGAAGGAGCAATAAGTTGTTCTTGTAGGTTATTAGAAGTGTCGACCGGTTTCGCCCCTACAATGGGCTTCTTCAGGACAAAATTATAGGATATTTCTACCCTTGAAGTACTAAAAATGTGGGCACATCAATTGTTCTACATATATATATGTATATAGTGACATCATTAACACTGGCAGAAATTGTGACGTCATAAACAATAGGTAGTATTGTGACATCATCAATAGTTAGTACAAGATAGATAACTCTGTTAAGCCAATATCAATACATATCTAAAAGTACATCAATAAAAATGTTGTCTAGCAGGACATAATAATAGTTAGAGAATGCAAACTCTTTACATACTGAATAGTCCATTGGTAGGTTGTAGTGCAGAGTTTCATCCAGCTGGTAGATACACTGGTCTATAATAACGGATTTTAATAATCATTGTAAAGCTAGGTTGAAGTCATCTTGAATAATGGAAATAACCTACTTTAGACTGAAAAATATAAAGAGATAATAAAAGTTTGGAGCCCAAGACTTATATGAAGGAAAGGTCCTGTCTTAGAGTGGCCATATGGTCGACATTTCCCTATGACATGGATCCCTGTCATACTGGGTTGGGACCTGAAAGTGATGTTCAAAGGAAATTGCATCATGATCTTTTCTATCTTTAAGTAGAGTAGTTGTAGATTCTGGTAAGGTAAGGGGGTCAAAACTTCACTAGAACTCCTATAGGGACGACATCATTGTGAATGCGCTGCTGAATAAGGTGTTTACCTCTAGGTTTTAATTTGACGTCTGTGGAACACTTTGTAAAATAGTGACAACAATTTCATGCAATTAACCTTGTCTGTTGATTTCTCTTCTACAACCTTAGAAAAAGACATTTCAGAAAAAGGGTTAAGCTTCTAGGGTGTGGGTGTTATTGAAATATGAGGCTTGGTACAGATGGACCTTGTTAGTTAACTCATTACCTTTCACAATAGGCATCAAGTTTCCCCAGCTCATCAGATAATCCAACCAGTATGTCAAGGGTTCCAACCTGTTATAACAAATAGGACATAATTAGATAACATTTACGATAAGTTAACTTTTTTTCAGATATAAATTAAAAAACAATGAAATATAAAAATAACTAAAATCATTGTTTAGGTAAAAAAAAAAATCCAGATCTTACAAAAAAAGAAGTGATGGGATTTTTACCATTGGATCCCTCTAAAAGTATAAGACCCAGTTTGTTTGATTTTGTTTGAGTTGTTTTACATCTGCTTCACTACCAAGTAGTTTGGTTATCCAGCAGACGAAACAGTCTGATTCCCATATCTTATACTTTTGGCTAGATTTGTCCATCTAAGAGAACTTTTTACAGCTCATTTAATGAATATAATTGTTTGTTGTTTGAGTGGTTTGTTTTTAAGTCCACTTAAATTAGCAGATGAATGCAAATAATACTACACTTAACATTTCATAGCACCTCATAAGGGGGGGGGGGATGAAAATCAGCCAGGCCTTCTTTAACGTTAACGTATCCAATTACCCTTATAGACTGACCAGGCTATTGGTTTAATAAACAGGACAATTATTTAATCTTATGTGATCAGTGTCATTGGTTCGAGTATTCTATTGATTGTATATGTGGTGAAGATAACCTTTTAAAATAATATAGGATACTACAAATGTAATTGATAAAATAATTATTCATCACACAATGGAACTTAAAAATGTTGTAAAAAGTTTCACATGTTTATCAATTAAATCGATCCCTCTCTTGGAGATTGCTTACAGGGACAAATCCCTTAGAATGCAGTCCAAGGGTTGACATACATTTTTTGTATTAATATAAGTTGCAATAAATTTCCCATACTGTACCTTTAAGTCAGGTATAGCAAACTTGTAGTTAGTAGACAGTGTGTTTTGTCTAGAGGTCACATTGTTCAGGTTCTCCCAGGTTTGCTGACAAGTTTTATCTCCAGGGGCTGATATTAACCAAAACTCAGTCATCTTGTTTTCTGAAGAAAAAAAGTCAAAAACTATTACTCTTAACCCTTAAAGTGTACTTGTTGGTTCACAAATTAATTCAGTCCAATTATTCATTTCTAACATTCAATTATGCTACTGTATATCAATCTCATTGATTTTTTTAATCTTTAAATGTTAAACCACCAACAATAATGACACAGAGACTTATTTTGAAAATGGATACGTACTTCATCATCTTTCTTACTGCAGATCAGGAAGTGACAGCTTGAGGGCATAATATGTTTATAATTACAGAGTTAACATAACTTATTAAACAATGTCCATATCCAAACTTTCATATATATATATATATGTGTACAATAACATGTATATATATATACACATATATTTAAAACAAAAAATGTTTGAGTCCAGTGGAGAGGATCATATAGATCCTGTATCGGAAAATAAACAAAACTTATTTATAGCATTTTTTCTATGAAATATATATGTGTTTAATGGCTCTAAAATAATATGGCACATAACTCTAGCAGTATTTTGGTGCTTTATGGATACTCATTTCCAGCTTTTATTTAAACATCAACCTGTCAAGTGCTTGAACATACTAGAGTACGGAAACTTTTGTAAGCTTATGCCTTATCCCTGTACGTGGTCATATTACAGGGAGGTCTCACACAGAAGGACTTTCATCAGAGTGCCCGGACATCACACGAGAGCTCTCTAATATTAAGATAGTGTTTATTTTCTGCAGGTTATAAAAACAAAACATAGTCCTAAAGATTTACCCAAACAAGACATTTAGCGACATAATTCTTAATAGAATTAACACAGATGCAAAAACATATGTCCTTGGTCGTCAGCGGTCCCGTCATCGAAAGGTGAAACTGATGACTCGGAATCTCGCGATCGTTTCACAGTAACCAAAATATGCCGAACTTGTGAAAGCATATATCTTCGTAATTTTTTAAGCTATGGACATTTTGTTGTCATAAAAGTGTCAATATGGGATATAAACTCACAGTGTTATCACATACGGGTGCACACTCGTTGTTCTTTCTTGCTTCAGGCGACAATCCTGTGTGTGTCGTAAGTTTACATGAGACGTCTACTCATAAGACTACGGCCATTTTGTTGCTCACGTGACCAATGTAAAATCTAAAAATGGAACCAATATTCAATATTAGACATATGATCTTTTAAGTAATACTAATTAGTTAACAGATTAAAATTTGTTATTTATTTCCCATTAGTTCTAGCCGGAACTGAGTGATTCAAACTGAGTTCTTAAGAGTGGTACATATTGTGTACGAACAAACTGTATTCCGGAATCTATATTGTGCGGGTTCTAAAATTAAATCTGCTGAAGTGCGCCAGTCAGGGTGCGCAAAGAAACGTTAAATCTAGCAGTCGATATTTTTCGAAGTCAAACGTCATTGCTAGTATAATAGGTCTAAGTATTTTTTTCCCGAAAAATTATACTGGAAGACAAAATACATTTGAGCCATAAAGATGGGTTGTGGTGGGAGCACACCACAGCCGCCGGTACCTGGAGAAATTCGGAAGCTTTCTATTTTCGGAGGGAATCCTGTTGTGATGGAAACAGGAGAAAAGGTGATGATGAGGAGAAATCCTGGCCCAGTGTTGATCGTTGTATTTGGTAAGCATGAGTCGTTCTTCTGTCATTTATAAGAGTTTATTTAATAAGAAATAAATAATAAATGATAACTCACATTTTCTGTGCCAATTACTATTAGCATATTTTTGTATTTAAAAATTCCACGTTAAAAACAGATTGAATTACGCAATTAGCATAGGCTCTTGACAACTCTTTTTGGTATCTGTACTGTACATTGTATGCATAATGCAAGTGTTCGTAGTAACAGCATGTTATGATATCATTGATGATAATGACAGTCAAATTTGATAAATTAAAATGTAATAGCATATAGGCCTAGGCCTATGTCAAATTATGATATCTTTGAATTAATATGATTTTATTAAATCGTTGAATTAATTTTATTTATCAATAAAGTCTAGATGCACCTGACTGTTTTATGATACATCGTATCATGAATGGGAAGATGTGAAATAATAATTTAAATCCAAATTCAAAAATGTATTTGCACATTTGTAACTACAAAGTAGTTTGAAGGCAAAACAATGAAACGCAATGAAATACATACATGTAGAAAAATTGCAAGGTGATAGGCTAATAGCTATACTGTATCACCTAGCTTATATTGTGATATAAAAATCATCGAATGCTATCAGTGTAACTTAAATTGATTTGAATTGGTTGTTTAAAATGTGATAATCATTTCTAAAACTAGCTATTAAATGATATTTGATTGTATTTCATCAGTTTAAATATAATGCTGTATATTTATTATGTGCAATGAACTGCTTCCACAAAAATAGTGGAATATTACTGGAATTAAAAAACCCAATCTCTAAGAGAGGGGTTTAACTACTAAAGCATGTGTAACCTTTTACAACATTTTCCAGGTCTATTGTGTGATGAATAATTTACTTTTGGTAAAGATCCCAGGGCCAAAAAGGGGAAATTTATAAAAAAAATATCTAATACTCCTAAAAAGACTACTCACCTTCACCAGGAGTAAAGTGATTTTAACCTTATTTGGTATAAGGATCGTGGGCCAAAGATTGAGACTTGATGTGGAACAAACATGTACTGAAAAGAAAGAGTGTATTCCCTTCGATGTATGGACAGGGCTTGCGCTAAATAGGGGAAATAGAGGTAAATCTTGAAAAGACTATACTTGCACATGTATATATAATATATTGAGTGAAAAGATTTTGTCCTCATTAACTTAAAAGACTGATTGATACATGTATACATCTCTTTGCCAATGGACTCAACATTGTTTATAAAAATGAATTACGTGACCCCACTGGGTCAGAATGGTTAGGTCAAACAGGAGAAATATTTTCAAAAATAAATATGCTCTGTAAGTACAGAAAAAGGGATTATAAACAAATTGGGTTTATTTCTGAATAAGTTAGTGTGTCTGTTTTCTTTGTCATATTACATGCTACATATTCTGTCAGTTTAAATGTTGATAGAGGGTGGGGGATGGGGTAGTCTGAGAAGGAGGAAAAACAACTGATGACTGGTTTCCAAGTTTTCTTCCTTAATCATGTTTGCCTTGTTTGGGTTATCTAATATTGGAGAATTTGTGTCATCTATATTTGTTTATCTTAAAATAACTCTTTGCTTTAAAATTGTCTACATTGCTGTTTACAAGCGTGGTAGCTAGTGTTAGGTAATCGGTTGAAAATGCCAATCGATCATCGGTTGGAATCGGATGACCTGCGTAACCGATTTTCCGATTATAATCGGGATTTAAAACAAGATTGAAATAAAATAGAACACTACATGACTTGAAGTTTCATTCCTTCTTTATAAATGTGAATGCTATTTACTTATTTCTCATGATCACTTTCTTAACTGAGAACATCATTCATTCGTTTGAATGTTGATTACAATATCAGTGTGTGCCAAACCTATAGAATTATTACAGGATATTTGGGCAGGTAAATAGACTTAGAATTTAAAATTAGTAGACACAAAAAAAAGTCCTAAAAAATATATAAAAAGAACTTATGTACTGTTGAAACAAAAAAAAATAGTTATTTTTTTGACATTTTGTAAATAATTCAACCATTCAGTCTCTTATAAACGTTAACAGATTTGTACCAGCATACTGTCTCAGACATCATTCCTTCCCAGTTCCTTTTCAGCAAATATTTTAAGGGTCATTAAAACAAACTGGGTAGTTTTTTTTCCCTTCATGCTACATGCCCAATTTCAGTACCCTGGGCCTTTTTGATTTTCAGAAGAAGTCGTTTGAAGATTTTACGACATTTGACTCCTGTCACATTGAAAGTTGGTCATGCAAGGTCATTCATTTGAACAAACTTGGTAGCCCTTCATCCCAGCATGCTACAGGCCAAATATAAAAAAGTACCCTGGGCATTTTGGTTATTGAGAAGAAGTTGTTTAAAGTTTTTAACATATTTGACTCCTGTGACCTTGAATATAAGTGAAGGTCATTCATTTGAACAAACTTTGTAGCCCTTGATCTCAGCATGTTACTGGCCAAATATCATCATCCTGGGCATTTTGGTTATTGAGAAGAAATTGTTTAAAGTTTTTACTATATTTGACCCCTGTGACCTTGAATATGGGTAAAGGTCATTCATTTGAACAAACTTTATAGCCCTTCATATCAGGGGTCAAATGTCTTAAAATATTTAAACAACTTCTTCAAAAGGCCCAGGGTACTGATATCAGGCCTTTAGCATGCTGTGATGAAGGGCTAACAAGTTTGTTCAAATGAATGACCTTGCCCTCTTTCAAGGTCACAGAGGTCAAATGTCGTAAAATCTTTAAACAACTTCTTCTCAATAACCAAAAGGCCCAGGGTACTGAAATTGGGCCTGTAGCATGCTGGGATGAAGGACTACCAAGTTTGTTCAAATGAATGACCTTGAACCACTTTCAACCTAATGTTCTTGTTCGACATTCAAGGTCACAGGTGTCATATCTTTAAATCTTTTGATAGGTTCTTATGAATCGAACACTGATATTCTGCCTACAGCTGTATTTTAGTCCACTTTTAAGATTATAAGTGTGAGATTAATACCAGGTGAGCGATGCAGGCCCATTGGGCCTCTTGTTAAGATATGTTATGTGATTCCATGGACGGATGAAAAAAGGTCATAATATTCTTGAAACACTGTTTTTTATTCTCCGAAACTGTGCATTTTAAGCTCTGCTTATAGAACAGTCCAAGTGCGTTTGTTTATCGTGGAATATTTCTGCGCCATGCGTACCGTTTCAACTAGGATACGCGAATGTAGCCCAACTCGCCTTGGTACGCAACATATTACCGGGATTAGGAAATGAAAATTGTAAATTGTTATACCGATACAACTTGAAAGGTGTTGCATTAACGAAACGCAGAAGTAACGCAGATAAGTTTTTAACAATATCTATTTGTTTCTGTGATATTTTTGCACTGGCCCGTTGAACCTTTGGCTTCACAAACTTTACTGGCCCGACAGATAATTTACTGGCCTCGGGCATCGGACCACCAGCTAATTTCACAGACTGAGTATTACTCGACATTCGAGCAGGTGATGTTATCTGAAACAATTTGCTGGTCCGAGGTGATTTGTCAGACAGAGTTTGTCACACACTGATTCAATATAGTTAATCTCAAATTATTTTAATGTTTCCAGGCAGTACTACAAGCTTTTTATAGTGAGCACAACAAACTTGCTAGATTTGCATAGATTTCTCGTAGCTCACTGAAAGAATCCACCATGAGCCTATTGGTTACAGATAAAACTTCCATTGCTAGGTGCGTTCGTTTTGGTTACTGTTGGGTGTGTTCGACCAGGATCTACCGATGATCGATTAAACAAGACTGTGATCAATCATCGGTAGGCTCCAACCAACTGTTAATCGATTATTCCCGATCATCAGCACAACACTAGTGGTAGCTATAGCGTCTTTATGTAATTAAGGTCAGTGCAGTGATTTGTGGGTACGGCTAAATTTATAACTGACAAAATATGGAAGTAGGGCAAATGGCGGCCATCGGAATGAAAACACTTTCTCTTTCAGCAAAGGGATGGTGGGACATAACCTTTAAAGTACCAACTCAATTTGACTCGATTTCAAATAAGTTAACTTAATTCACAATAATAAATGTCATATCAAGTACTTAACCCAAAATGCATAACCTGATTTGTTTGTGTTACGATCGTTATTATTATGACTCGTCTGCAGGAGATAGGAAAAGGTATGTATGTTCCCTTCTCAAATGGAAATCTACCGGTCATTGTCAATATCTGAAGGACCTTTTCTCATCACATGAACATCTCTTAGATAAAGTTATTAGCAAAATAACACGAAGTTTTATCATGTTTTTTAATGATTGGACAAAATGTCAATTTATCAAATGTATTCTTTTTGACACTTACTTCAACCGGTAATTAATTACCGATCGATCTTAAATGTCTGATAATCTATATTCAAAATCGGACCGATTTCCAGCACTGGTAGTGGGGAATGACCTTAGTTGACTGTAGTAGACCTTAGTGAAACATATTAAACATAGTTAGATGTCATCCAGGAACTTTAACATTACTTAACCCTATACTTGACCCTTGTTAACCGTACTTAACAGAAAGTACTGTGAACGTACTTCAAACGTAGTCCAACCCTAGTAATTGTCCCTATTTGACCCTACTTGGGCATAGTGTTAACCGGAGTGCCATGTTACTACGGACAACTACAGTAAATTCATGGTCATCTACATTCTAACTACCGTCACAGTGTAGGGTCTTGGCATCCAAACTTGATCATCGTAGAGATATTTTGAACATGTTGAAAAAAAAATTGGCTAACATGTTGAAATTTTTTGGGTTAACCACGGCCAAATCATGGGTTTCTTGAAGTTCAAACTCCATTTGAATAACTACGTTAAACTAAGTCTAACTACATATGTTTAACTACGTTTAATACGTTTAACTAAGGTCGTCTAGTAGACTCTACTAAAGTCAACCACAGTCATTCCCCACCGTGGCTTTAGAATGGTGTAACTTGTCACAGTTAAATGTATAGCA